CTCCCGGCGCGGGGAACATCCCCTGCCGCCGGGCTGGGGGTGAGGGAGCCGCTGACCTGTCGCGTTGGCAGCGGGCAGGCTTGGTGGCGATGTGCAGGCGAAGGGCTCTGCCGCTGCCCAAACCCTTCAGAAAGGGCCGTCCCGTGGTTGAAAATACTTCAACTTCCCTTTTCTTTCGCAGAAAGGTGGTTTCTGAGCTCTCTCTGGTAGCTGCTGCACAGCTTGTCTGGGCGCTGCCACCGCTGAGGGAGATCCCGAGGAGACGCAGTGAGTCACTGTGCGCTGCTACATCGCAGCCCAGTTGGCTTCCATGATAATCACTGCTGGCTTTTCCTGATCAGACCTCACAGCAAGCTGCTGCTCCAGGCTCTGTCCCTTTCTCATCCGGACTGGGAAGAGCTGCAAGCTCACATTAGCTGATCAGACTATTTCCATAAGACGTGGGCAGCAGCTGCAGCCTGGCTGTGGAGGGAGAACGCGTGTGCCCGCTGTCTGGGCAGGGAGGTGGGTGTGCAGCAATTGAATTTCACAGTGGGCAGGTGCTAAGGCAGTAGCTGACCCACTTTGTGAGGCTAGGTCAGCCTTGGTCGTGGCCTCGGTTTGCGGTGGAAAAATGACCCGTTAACAGTCGGTGTCAGCTGAGCTTGAAAGGGCCTTCCCTGGGTAGAGCTGTCAGCAGTCATACATCCGTTCGTACAGTCACAGGTCTGTTCTCAGCTGAGTATCGGGTGCTGGAAGTGGTTTGGTGCGGTCTGGAAGGGTAACCCAACGCTGTCGCACCACCTGAGACAGGCCTTGGGGACCTGCTGGCAGGAGCCCTTGCTGCTGAGATGGGTCTCTCTTGGAGGCCAAAAGGCCCGTTCCCAGCGTGCCACAGAGGTCCGGGAGGGCTGCGCTCCGTCCTCTGTCCCGAGGATGTGCGTGGAGCTCCCGGCGGTGGCCATGGCAGGGGGAATTGGCTTCTCGCTCTTGAGTCGCAGCTCCTGCGGGAGGATGGGAAGAAATGCTGAGGGTCAAGCAGCGGGAGCCTGTCACCCTGCAGTGGGGAACACCAGTGCAGAAGGGCTCTGAGGAGATGAGCTGTGAAGGAGATGACTCAGCCTGCGTGATTTCGCTCGTGCAGACCCTGGAGCTCTGTGGGGTTTAGGACATTATCTTTATCTGAGGCTCTTTGACCAGGCTCGTTCGCTTCCAGCCTCCTGCAGTTAGTAAGCTGCCAGCCCTGTTCTTTAGCACTAATTGGGATTGAGCAGTCAGTGTAACTCAGTAATATATATGGGCACCTCCCAGGCTGCGCTTCTGGAGCTCATGGAGGCAGCTCCATGAGGCAGCAGGGGCAGAGATGGCTGACAAGCCCAGGAAGGGGCTGAAGCAGGAGTTTGGGGACATTCCTCAGGCAGCTCTCTGGTCTGGGGAATGGGATCCAGTGGCTCTTGTATGAGGAAATGTTGGGGTTGCTTGGCTTGATGGAATCTGTCCAGACTGCTTCCCAGCCAGACAGGCCAAGACCAAGAGCTACAGAGGGAGATGAAGCCCCCTGCCTGGTGAGGAGCAGTGGGATGTCCTGGCAGCAAGCTGCTCTCTGCCTGTAGGAGCAGATGCCTCCTGGGCTGCAGCGAGTTCCACAAAAACCTTCAGTCCTGTTCAGTGTAACTAGGGAAATTGGCCCTTATCCATATACATGTCTAATCCTCTTTGCTTCCTCAGGATTTGCTGCTGCAAGAAGTCCGTAGGCTGCCTTACCCGGCACTTCATTAAAAATCCTCTTTTTGTCTCTGTCGGCTGTCATTGTGACTTCTGCGAGTGTGCTCCGGGCTCTTCTAGTGCAGGGCTCCTCTGTCCTGGCACGCTGTGTCCAGTTCCTGTTCTTCTCTCCTCCTTTCTCTAGTCTCTTATCTCATGGAGATCATTTTTCCTGGTCTCATACCCTTTCTGGAACCTTCTTAATTCTGTGGTAGTCAAGATAAAGATAATCAGAGCAGAGCCGAGTACCCTGAGAGGCAGCTTCCCTCTCATCACATGATCTATTTGTTTGTGTTGTGCTGGAGCACGTCTGCAGTTCTGATGGCTGTTTTGTCCTGAGCAAGGTTTTCGTTAGATAGCTAACAGCTACATCCTGGATGTTCTTGCAGTGGCTGTACTGGTTTGGAAGTAGTGACATGGTACAGAGTTGCGTGTTTACGGGAACAAAAGATTTTCTGTCTGTGGGAGTGGGGAAGCTACTGAGAAAAGCATTAAGCCCTGCTAGCACGGCCGAAGCCGTAGGGACCTCGACCCCAGCGTTGCTCCTGGCATTGCTGGCAGCAGTCGAGACTGCGCTTTATTAAAGACTGATTCTGTGGCTGCCCTGTTTCACTCGGGTCTGTCGCTTCCCTCTGCTTACGTTCCTGTGCCGTGTCCCCGCTCGTGTGTTGCAGCTGCCGTCTCCTGGTATGACGAGTTCCAGAGGCTCTACGACACCATCCCTTGCGTGGAAGTGCAGGCCCTGAAGGAGCACAATGACCAGGTTTTGCACCTCAGCTTCTCCCACTCTGGCTGTTTGTTTGCATCATGCTCCAAAGACTGTACTGTCAAGGTAAAGTGGCAGCCTGCCCCACACAACCCTCCCAGCTGTGATTTAGTGGGGCTTCGCTGTGAGAGCAGCCTTTAGGAAGTCTGTGGAGAGGAGAGGTTTGACCAGGCGTCCCTGGACTTAGGCCGGTTCCTGCAGATGCTGAGCTGTTCTCAAAGCCATAGAACTAATGATTCTTGCAAATGTAGCCTCGAGGGCTATGGGTTCCAGCTCCATGTGAAGGTGGCCGAGGTGCCTGCCTGGCTCTGGTTGCTGTCTAGGTGCAAATCAGTCCCATTGTGCTGTGGGTCTAACAGAGACCGTGGAGATAATGATCTGCTGCAGAAGTTGTCTTGCACGAGTGGTTGTCTTGGGAGAAATCTCTCTGAACATGCTGAAAAATCCAGCAGTGACGCTACCATTCACTGCCTGAACACCATCTCCACTGGCTGATGCAGCAGCAGTCCTGCATTTAGCAACTCTCCAAAGCTGTTGGCCATTTTCTGTCAGGAGAATTGACAGGGAAATCAGGACTGGGAGGCAGTTAGAGTCCTTGATTTTTATTTTTTCTTGTCCTGGTGAGTGTTAGCGGAACAGATAAAGTGGAACCACTCTCAGGCTTCTCAACAGCTTCCTGACTGTTTGTCCATCTGTCCGTAGATCTGGAGCAATGAGTTGGACATCTCCCTGCAGCACAGCTCCAACATGAGGCCATACAACTGGAGCTACACGCAGTTCTCCCAGTTCAACTCGGATGACTCCCTCCTTTTGGTGTCCGGTGTCTTTGTGGGGCCTCACAACTCCTCGTCAGGAGAGATTGCCGTGATCAGCATGGGTAAATGCCGCCCTCGCCTTCACTGGGGCTTCCTGGGAGGTGTGAAGCGGTGGCTGTTGGGGTTCCCTTCCCCTCTGGGTGTGTGGTGGCCTTGACCTCTGCTTGTCCTGCCTCCCACCATCTGTGCACAGGGTCCCAATCGCAGTTTCATCGGGTAGACTTTCCCAGATAGCCTTAACTCTGCTCTGGTCACCACGTCATCACCTAAAGGCAGCATGGGGTATGTTTGTTCGCGCTCAACTTCTGCGCTAAGTGACAGTCTGGGCAAGGCAAGAGTCACCTGTGTTACCCATTGTCTTGAACCCACCGTTTCCGACTCGAGTGGTGCTGGTCCCACCCTGAGGTCTCGCGTGGCTTTGAGGCACGTTCGTCCGGGCCTGCTTCACCTGTTCTGCTGCAGTTCTGTGGAACTCGCCGAACCCAACTGCCTTATCTCTTGCTGTCTCTGTGCTCCAGTCCCACTGTGCCAAAAATCAAGGAGTGCTGCCAAATGCACAGCTGTCTTGCTCAGAAAGGCCCTGAGGCCCAGGGGCAGGAGTGAAGAGGTTCTGTACGTGTTTGACCTGTTCTTGCCCCTGGGGTGTCTGCTTTGGGCCACGCTTGGAGAAAGGCTGCGTGGTTAGATTGCTCTCTGGTCTGGCTACCCTTTTATTTTGGTTTCCCTTGTGCACACGTCTCTGTAGAAGAGAGAAATAACAGTTCTCCATAGTAGTGTCTGGAACTGATCGGTGGTTGGGCAGTGTCTGCCGAGCTTGCGGTGGAGGTGCTGCATCAGCGCCCCTCCTGTGGAGACTTGAATCTGCTTCCCATGTCTTCTGCCCGGGTTTCCCCAAGCCCTTGCTGGGGGCTGTCACCTCATGCTTGTGTTTCTGCTCCCTTCCAGAAAACTTCACGCTGCTTTCCAGGGTGAGGAATAAACCCTATGATGTGTTTGGCTGCTGGCTGAATGAAACCAACTTGATATCTGGGAATCTGCATCGGATTGGGCGTATAACCTCCTGTTCTGTGCTGTGGCTGAACAACGCTTTCCAGGTGAGGTGCCTTTGTTCTGGCTCCACATGCACTGCAGCTTCCTTTTGACTCCTGGTGGAGGAAAAGCGGAGGAGGCGGCGTGAGTGGGGAAGAATGCCCCAGTCCTCCTGTCCTCCCTGTTTGTCTCCCCTGACTTGCCCTCAGGATCTTGAGCTTGAGGCAACCCTTGTGTGAGGTTATGGTACCTGTTGTGATATTCTAACTCTACTCCCAGATTCCATTAACTTTTCCCCCATTAATTGGGATGAGGATTCGACTGCAGTGCCCTAGAGTGTGCATTGCTTGACAGGAGAGTGGTCAAACCCCAGCAGCGTTGCTGAGCTCCTTGATAGTATGAAGCTGGGCCTGGGATGGCTGTAGTCCGGCACGTGTCTGAGCAACAGCTGTTCCCCCACTTGGCAGCTCCGTGTGTTGTTCTGGGAGCCGGAGGCAGCTGAGAGGCTGAGCTCAGCCCTGCCTGTCCTTGCTGACTGTTCTGTGGGCCAGGCACTGTCTCTGATGCTGTGATGAGACCTGGAGATCAGAGTGTGCTGGCCCTAGACTGCTCCTTTGCTGCTTGTTCATTCTCTGGCACTTCTGATGCTCAGACATGTTCCTCTTCTATGTTGTGCCTCTGTCTCAGTGTAACAGCTGCACATCCTGCTGTTTTGTGTTTTTTAACGTGATTGATGCTGGCCCTGGGTGAAATCCTCTGGTAGCAGAGACCCTTCCCTCTGTGCTGACACTACAGCGTTAGCTCTTCCATCTCCAGAGGCGAGGAAGGACCCTGCCCTCTTTGGCAGGGGGTGTTGAAGTGCGGCCGCAGACTGCCAGAGCAGCTGGGCAGGAAGAGACCTGGTGCCTGGGTGCAGATAACCAGGCTGGTCCTGCTGAGGGGACAGGCAGGCTTCAGGGCACGAGGTCCTCGGCCGCTTGTAGGCCAGAAGGATGGCACTTCACACTGCACCTTGTTTATCAGAGGCCTGTTCCTGAAATTCTAGTAAAGCGCCAAGCAGCACCGGCTAATGACCTTGGGCAGGAGTTTCCCAGTTCCGCTGCTGTCTGCCTGCAGGAGCTTTTAGTCTTGGTGTGCCCACCTCCAAGCTGGGAAGGAGCGCAGCGAGGCTGGCCAGCCTCTTGGGCCACTTCTCACAGTCCGTGCTCCATATAGCAGTGCGAAAGGGGTCGGTCGGTGTGTGGGCTCAAGGTCTGGGCAGGCAGCTCTTGGTTTGAGCCCTAGGCCTGACCCTCCTGTGAGGTGGTTCCTGCTTACCTCTCCCTTCTGCTTGCAGGGCATAGAGTCCGAGAATGTGAACGTAGTGAAGAGACTGTTCAAAATCCAGAACCTGAATGCGAGCACTATCCGGACCGTGATGGTGGCTGACTGCAGCCGGTACGATTCCCCAGACCTGCTCCTGGACTACGAGGAGCAGCTAGCTGCTTCCTCCACCTGCCCAGTCTTTGATCTTGGCAGCGACAGCGAGGAAGAGGAGGCCAAGCCCAAGCAGACTCCGGAGCCAGCAGTACAGGAATTGCCGGATGAAGGGGGTGTGACAGCAGAGGATGGGCTGCAGCAGTTCTTTGATGACATCATGGAGGGCCGTGTGAGGCCTGCCATGACCGAGACAGAGTTGGAGACAAAGGTGGCTGAGCTGTTTGTACGCAACAGAACTAAACCGCCCGAGCTGAACCTGCTCTCCACGGACAGCAACAGCAAGACAAAATACTTGATCTTCACCACAGGATGCCTCACCTACTCCCCGCACCAGATAGGTAAGGCTGTGGTCTGAGCCTGGGCACACCAGCCTCTCCAGGGGTCTGGGCTGCAGCTCCGCTCTGAATCTGGAAACGACCTGTTCTGTTTGCTGCCTGCTGGTGATGAGTTGCAGCTTTGCTTAGGCTGCTGGATTGTCCATATGGGAGGCTTTTGAGATGCCCCCAGTCACTGAAGGGGGTTCCACCCTGCAGGCGCTTGCCTGAGGGTTGATTTGTTGCTCCTAGGCTTGACACGTGGCCAAACAAGAAAGTTGTGGCGAGGGCTGAGCAGAAGATCGAGAAGGAATTGCTGACTTAATGACATCAGCCATGAGTTGCACACCAGGGGGTGGATGTGAAGGGCAGCGATTGCGCTGATGGTGGTGTGTGGAGGGGCTTCAATCCTATTCTCTTGTGGGGTGGAGAGGGCACCGGGGCAAGACTAGTTCGAGCAGCTTGGAGCACATGTTACATGTTGCTTATGCAGTGCCCCTCAGCTCTGGGAGA